AAGGACTAAATTATAGAAAAGAGGGGCAATAATAATAAAGGAAAAAAGGTAAGTAATTAATTAGATAGATATTAATATATAGATAGTAGCTAAAGTATCTTAAAATAGTAATTAAGGAAGGTTAATATAACTAAGGGTTTAGTATTATAATATATATAATAAGCCTGGTTATAATATAAGAACTTATTAGGTAATAATTAAGATATTTAAGGAAGAGTATAATAAGTAATTTTAATTAATTAATTAATTTATTATATTTTTATTTTAATTTCTAATTTAAAGGTTAAGAAAAGTAATTATTTTACTTATTTAACTATTTTACTTATTATATATATTAATTATAATAATAATTAAAGATTATAAATATATATTTATAAGGGATTTAAACTTTTTCTTTAAAGTAAGTTATAATATAATTAATAAGTAAGTATTTAAAATAAGTAAGTACTTTATTAATCTAGACCCTAAGACTTTTAAAAAGCAATAAAAACACTATAACTTATTAAATTAATTAAAATTACTTATTATACTCTTCTCTATTAACCTTAATTACCTCCTAATAAGCCTTTATATTATACCTGGCCTTATTATAAGTCCTATAATACCAAACCCTTAGTTAACTTAAACTTCCTTAACTACTATATCTTAAAAATTCAGCCGCTACCTGCATATTAATATCTATCTAATTAATTACTTATAATACTTCTTCTATAAGTAAAGGCCTTCCTTTTTATAATTTAATTCTTTTTCCCCTCTAGCGCCGGCTTAATACCTTATTTACCTATTAAAGGTCTTAGACCTAACTTTATAATAAGGCTACCTTATATAGAAGAATACTTTATCTCTTTTTAAAATACTAAATAGCATAAATATTTAACTCTAGGGAGCTACTCTTATAATTAATAATCCATGCCTATAGATATTTAAAATAAGATTAGACCTCTAATAGTGTTTTTAAGGTCTTTAAAGTCTAGGGGGTCAAAGGTGCTGTAACCTCTGCAAGAGGGGTGTTACAACCTACGCGGCTATATTACATAGCCCTTACAATTTCCACTAATTATAAAAAGATCACTTCTTCTAGTAGTAATCCTCTTTTATTAAATTACTTAAATTATAATACTTTAAGATTAAATTACTATAAATTACTAATAATCCTTAGAAATCTAACTTTTAAATTACTTTTATTTTTTATTAAGCTATAGGGCTACCTTTAATATATAAATAATATTTATTAATACTTTTATAAAACTTAGCCTCCTAGTTATTAATTAAAATATCTTTATATATATAAGCCTAAAATATATTACTTAATTATTAAGAGATATAATACTTTATAAATACTTAGTATTATACTTTATATAGTCTGCAAATACAAACCTAATATAGACTAGTTTACCTGTTTAAAAACATAACTGTTATAAGGGGTCGGGGTCTGTAGCTGTATATTAAGCTTTAAGATAATATTTTCTAAGTTAAAAGAAGTAAGCCTGGCTCCTTTAAAACCTCCCTAGATATTGCTTTCTATAATAGTAGCTTAGTAGGCGGTATAAAAGGCGGGAAAGAACTCAGTCTTAGAAATATAGTTTATAAAGCATCTAATTAAATACTCTATTTCTTGCCTATAAGCCTTTTTAAGCAGCCTAAAGTACCTTATATTAAGAGGTATAAGTAGGTATATAAGTATAATAATCTTATTTTCCTTATAATATCTTTTAAATCTAACTAAGTAATAGCTTTTATAATTATTAAGGATTAAGAGATAATAATAACTATTTATTTACTTAGCTATAAACTAATTAAAGTACTTTAGCTAGTTAAGACTTAGCTAATTATTAATTAATTTATTTTTACTTAATACAATAACCTAGTTACTAGGGGGGTTATATTCTTAATATTAATTTATATAGTAATATTAGCCTATATTAATAATAAATAATATAATTAATTAACCTTTTATATTAACTGCCTTAATTATAATAATTTATTTATAATTTCTAGGCTATATTAATTTTAATCTCTCTTACCTTTTAGTGCCTATAATAACTATCCTAGACTATATTATACTTATTATAAAGCCAGTCTTATTAAAGTTCTAGATATTATTTAATTAAATATTATATATTATTATTATATTTTTTATAAAGTAAAACTAGCCTTAAATAATTATTAAATCTTTATATTTAGCTATTTAATAATATTATTTCTAAAATAAATATATCTTAAGCTTTAGCTATTACTTAATAAAAGTTATAAGCCTAGTACTTACTAATATATTATATATTACAGTTAGCAAGCAGAGAATTAGCTCTTTCTTTTATATATAATAGTTATAAGGGAAAACCTTGCGAATCTAGGTCTAGAATAAATTGAATTATTATCTGCTCCTGTAGATCAGATAGTCGCCTTATCTTTTAGATAGTATTGCATCGCGATTGAATGACGCGTTAACGGCGGCATAAGGCAAAGCGGTTAACTTTATAAGTATCTGCAGCACGTCGGAAACTTATTTTTAGGTTATCTTGGAGCGCCTGAAGGGCAAGAAGGATTCTAGCTTCATTTGAGGGTTGTGATATAGTAAATGGTTGAGAATTAATTGATTAGATTATAAGGTGTAAGGTTGAGGGATTTATGGAGCACTTGCTTGTCTGGAGCACGTACTTATCAACCACGTTAGGGGAATTAATAAGTTACATTTTAAACCAGCTAATATATAATAAGCAAGTGGGACAAATAAGCAAGTGGGTCACTTTTAACTTTATTAGTATTTATACCTTATAAGATAATTACTTTAATAAGTTCTTAAAAGTTTAAATTAAGCCTAAAATAGCTTAACTCTTTATATAATATTAACTAGCTTTTAAATAGCTTATATAAATTTTTATAGAATTATTAAAAAAAATTATATAATATATATAATAAGCATACGCAATAAAAAGGCAGTATATAAAGTATAATAATATCATTCTCCTTATAGTAAATCTTAAAGTCAGCTAAGTAGTAACTTTTATAACTATTAAGGATTAGAAGATAATAAAAACTAATTAATTAGTTAGTTTTATATTAATTAAAGTGCTTTAGTTACTTAAGACCTGTCTTATTATTAGCCTAGCTATTTTAGGTTATAGTAATAGCCTAATTACCCTAGAGGTTACTTTCTTAATACTAATTAGTAAGGTAATATTAAGCTATAAATATAATAATTAGCAGAACTACCTAGCCTTTTATATTAATTACTTATATTATTATAACTTATTTTTAATTTTTAAGTTAAATTAATTTTAACTTTTTATGCCTTTTAGCCTATATAATAACTATATTATTTAAGATTATATTTATTATAAAGCCAGTCTTATTAAAGTTATAAATATTATTTAATTAAATATTATACTTTATAATTATATTTTATATAAGCCTAAACTAATTATAAATAATAATAAGATCTTTATATTTAGCCCTTTAATAATTATATCTTTATTAGAAATATATCTTAAGCTCTAATTATTACTTAATAAAGTTTATAGCCTAGCACTTACTAACTAGTAATATATTACAGTTAGTAAGTAGTTAATTTACTATTTCTTTAGTACTATATAGTTGCAGAGGAAACCCCTACAGATCTAGGTTAAGAATATGCTAAAATATAATTTATTCCTCTAGATTAGGTAGTTTCTGTAAGTTAGGGATAGTATTAGCCTGGGCTTGCATTCCGTGCTTTTAATAGAAGAGGGTTATATAGTAAACTCTGTAGATCTTTGCGGCGCGTCGGAGGCTTAGTTTTGGGTTATCTTGATAGGCTTTAAGCGCAAGAAGCATATTAGACTCTCTACTTAATTGAGGCGTGGTAGGTGGTTGAGAATTAATTGACCTAATGCTGATAATGTATGTTGAGGGATTTTTGTTCAATTCGCTTATCTGTTCCACTCGCTTATCATACACGTTAGTCTTTTCACTTATGTCAGTGAGGTTTCTCGGGTTAAGCATAACTCTAGTGAGGAGGGAAGGCCGTCAGAAATGATAAGGCCACCCTCTGTTATACGTTGCGTGTAGTATTCCATCATCAAACCGATGCGATTGGGGTTCTCCGGTGTGGAATTTGAGTTCAACAGAGTTCCCCGGTTTCTAGTAAGTTACGCAAGGAGGATCCGGTGCTTAAGTCGTATCTTTCCATTGGCAATGTCTAGAGTTTGAAATAAGTGGGAATCTGCCCCGCTATCAAGGCACGTCACCCATCTTTATAACTGTTGATCAAGATTTTGTGGTCTGGTATTTAGAGAGCTTCAATTTTCGCGCAAGCCCAGGATGATAAGAGATATTATAGGAAATGAAGTCTTGACCTTTACTAATTTCTGTCGATGATTTCCATAAGGTTGGGAAGCTCTAGGTAAATACTTTGCGGGTCAGCCGAATACGACTCTATAATTGAACTGACAATCCAAGCCTCTTGCACAAACACTTCAATAGCGCATGCAGGACATCGGGCCATGTATCCGCAGGTACCAGCACCATTCAAGAAGGTCATTACAAGAGCTTTAAGTAATTCATTTGTCTTGGACGCCACATGAAACCAACTTGCCGAACATGTTTCGTTTTTAGCGTTCTCCACCGACTAAGATATCTGTGCCGATCCCCTCCTTTTATTGGGAATTAAAGTTGCGCTTGAAAATTTCCTCCAACACTGGCCAAAGGTTCAATGTAACGTCGACGATGCATCTCCTGATGATCTTGCTTCATGATCGGCATATCGAACCCACTGTTATGCCGAATTGTCTGAGGAACTGCCAGGAAAGCCCGAGGCCAAGACATAATGAACCACCTGCCCCAAGACATGTCATGTAGAATCTCTAATTGCTGACAAAGTTTGATGAGAAAACTGGGCGCCTCTCCCGCCTTTAGAGGCCGTCGTTCCCACCCTCACCACCTCGTGGCTTCTTTCCTGAAACCTCTTGTTGCTCTCTTCGTATGACTTATAGGTGGTCTATTAGGATCTATCCTTCTCGACCATGAGCTTTCCCGGTGCAGCGCCTCCGCCCTCGGGCGTGGAGCCGAACCTAAAGCATCCACAGGATGTGCTAAGGTCGTGCAATTATGCCAGGCAAGCTCTTACCATTGCGTTTGTGTCCGCTTTCGTTGTGACTCGTTTTTATGTCAAGACAAGAGTTATGGGAGGAGGGACAACAAGAGATGACTGTGAGTATTGTTGAGGAAGGCCATCTCGTATTGAACGCTGACCCTGAAGAGTGGCCGCTTATACTTCCTACGTATGGCGCCGCAGCTTCCTATGTCTTGTATGTGTGAAGCTCATCTCTTTCTAGGCGTTGATGATCGGGTATTGTATCACAGCCTGCGTTGGTATGTCCATCTATTCTCAAGCCGTTGCTGTTCTTGCTAACACCTTAACGGCTGGGACTTACGGTGGCGGGCTCAATCAATTGGAAGTACGAAAGGAATATACGCCGTTTTTCTTTCGAGTAAGTTAAATACATATAACAACATGACTAATCTCTAATATTATGGTGTTACAGTCCGGATATACTGCCACTATCTTCTACGCTCCCATGGCTCTGATCGTCAAACTTGCTCTCCTCTTCATCTCATACGAGTCTTCGGAGATGTCCATAAGAAAACCATGATGGGCATCTACATTTTTATCGGCATGCTTGTGGCATACTATGTGTCAGGTCTTTTCATCAAGATCTTTATATGCTGGCCGATCAGCGCGTACTGGAAAGGAGAGACAGACAAATGCTTAAACCAAAGCGCCATCATTTTCGCCCATGCTATCATCAGCGTCATCAGTGACTTGGTCATTTTGCTACTCCCGACCCCGCTCACGTGGTCACTACAGCTATCTAGACGGAAAAGACTCCGAGTCATTGGAATTCTTTGTGCTGGAGGCGTCGCGACAGCTTTCAGTATCTACCGATTGGCAATGATCCTGCACGAGGGCAAGTCTGTAAACCAGGCCATCGTCTTCACAAAGGCGATATTATCTGGGTAAGAACATCCCCCGATTTACTTAACAGTGGGACTAATGGTCAAAGCAATGCGGAGGCCGGGATTGGCTTTGATATGCGCCTGTCTTCCATCTATAAGCGCTCTCCTAGTTCGACGTAAGAGATAATCCTACTATGGAAACCAAAGTCACTCAACCCATGGAGATGTTAGTAGACGTGGAGAGATCGTGATGGCCCGATCCTTCCACGTCGATGCTGGAAGAACAGACAAGGAGGTACACCACGACGCTTACGACTTGGGTCACGACGAGGCTGGATTATTTGCTAGCGTTCAGGCCAACCCAAAGAGCAACTATTCGAGTCGAAGAAGGTCCGAATCTACTGGCTGAGCCATTCTACCGCATTATTTAGGCTTATCAGTACAGCCGTTATGCACATGACGAAATCAGACCTCAGAATCGAGGACGGCTACAGTGTCGATTATGAGATTGGTCCACATGGAGTTATTACCTCTGGTGTTAATACAGAAACCGAAACAAACAAAGGACAAAGACTGTCAAGGAGGCGGGGGCATAAAAGACCTTATTATAGTATTTAATAACACCAAGAAAGTACTAGCAGAGGGCCCAAGCTTTGCACAAGAATCACAATTCTGGAAATAAACTAATACGACGGCGTCTTGGATGATGTTAAGTAAAACACTTGACAGACTAGGCTTTAGCCAGTTAATAAGTACTAAGTAGAATTGAAACCCAGATCATACCCAGAGGAGTTGCCCATACCTCAAGGAAGCGGCGGTGCCTTGGTTTGCAAGAGTGCTAGAAAGACGGAAGGCCTTCCCTATGAACACTTACGACCGACTGCTGAGAATAATGATCTCTGTTTATAATAAGGGGCTAGAGCTCGCTAGTAACCAATAACAAAATTAACTCTTAGTAGAGTAAAAATTTGCATCGCCTTATTTTTACCTAGTAATCTCGGGGATTAATAGATAAGTTAAAGCTAATGCATCCCGCCGTTTATTATACTTAATGGGGCCTGCTACCTTATAAATTTATACTTCAAGTACAACCTCCTAATAGATTAGGTAATTAAGCCTATTAAGGATAAGTATATAAGTAAAAAAAAAGGCCTAAAACACATTTAGCATTTTAATAAGTATATAGCATATCTTAAGAATGGCATCTATCGCATATTAGTGATTAATAGTTACTTACGCTACCTCTCCACTGGTTTCGACCGATTCTGCAAAGAGAATAAGATTATCATAAGCTCTATGCCTTCTTATTTATCTCATATTCTTTAACCTCTAGATAATAGATACTTCGGCCCTCTGAAGCGAGCATATAGTCAATAATCGAACAGCTAGTCAAGTCACATATTAACCATATGACCAAGGTTAACTTCTTAATTACTTTTAAGGCCGCCTTCTTTGCTATTATAGGAGAAATAAATATCAAGTCAGGATTAGGGTATTGGGATTAGCACCTCTGGACCCGGCAGTTATCCTATCAAAGCTAGATATCAAGTTACAAACGCTAACGTCCCGAGTAAGCCTAATAACAGCGGCGGGACGTTGGACTTCCCAGATACCTCATATCCCCACGGAAGCCATTTTATAATCAACACTAACCAAATATCGAATTGCTCGACACCAGAGTAACTCATAGATACAGATATATAAGGCCATAGACGAGCTTGCGAAAGGCACACAAGTTTTAGCACATTGAGTAACCCTTCTCAACGACCAGGTCTATTCACTATAAAGGACTAATAAGGCGCTTAGTAGGCATCGGAAGACAAAAAGAACAAGACTATAGCTTAGTGAGATGACTGCTATTCAACTAGGACAGAACATAATATCTCAGAAAGGTATCAAGAAGAGGATCGAGAAGGAAATAGACGGGAGTGGTAGCCGACCTGGAATAGGCGAAGCAAGTAAAGGGAACCGCGGAAGGTACGGCAAGCCCAGAAACAATATACGGACAATAAGGAAGAGGGAGATTTGATTTACATATATAATTCCGAGTAGCAGCTTGGAATTAGATTTGGTGTGGTGGTGTAATTAACGTTGATATAGATGGGGTGGTGGAAAATCCGTCGTTCGCTTATATCCGCTGCTCGCTTATACGAAACGTTACATGTTTCCAACGTTAAAAGAGTACAAATTTGCACCGCTATTGCGTTGCAATCGTTTTGGACTAAATGAGGGGAGATGGGGATTTCGTCGAGACAACTATGATGACGGCAACCCATAAACCGAGAGTTTTCCCCGTAAAGCCGAAGCACAGCACCACTGGAAGCAAGGCCCGAATAATTGGCATATAGCTCCGCCGAAATATTCGTGCTAGTGGATCCAGGTCGATCTGGACCATCGGTCATGTCGGAGCTTTGAGCTTTGAGCATTGACAAAGGCTGAATCGAGCTCTGATCTAGCAAGTTAAAGTAACGATAATTGGCCAATTCTAGACCCTTAAAACTTGAACTTGGCTCTATTCGAAATAACGCGACCAAGAAAGAGGCAAGATGTTAAGCGATGTAACCCAATGGACTAGTTCGGCGCCAGGTGTATCTCCCGCTTTGGCTCTCCTTCCAGATTTGACTTGCCATAAAACGCACCTTCCCCGAGCGCCACTGCCTCGGAACAGGCCCTGCCAATCTATCCCGCTTTTCGCTACGAGCCCGACCCTTGGCAGTTTGCGCCCTCCTATGTGGGGCTTTGTTTCGGGCCTGTCACCCTCCTCTTGGTTCTTGTCCCGCGTCGTCCCCTGGCCATGGCTGTGGTCAAGGGCTCCAATTATTCAGTCATGGTCATCAACAGGGGCAGATGAATGAAACAACCTGCCTTCCGGTGACTGCACGCCTAGCTATCCGCGAACTAGCTATTAGCGAAGAGACCAAAGTCGACGGCGCGCGATCATGGCGTTAGACAAGTCTTGGGATTGCCGTCAACACTTTCGATTTGTTATATACCCTCAATTCCACAATCGACGTAGCACTCACGTCCTACCAGTTTCTTCAAAGCCGGAATACTCCACCCTACAGTATCTCCATTGACAAGTGCTAGGCTCGCCGCCCTAATATCACAGCATTAATATATTAAGCCGGCGCCATCGATCTCTAGCACTGATCTGCCCCGCTTTCTAGCCCCTCGACTAAATCGGATCATTTTGACACAATGGCTCATATTGCTGGATACATCGTCAATATTGATGTCAACCATATAACAAAGCCGCCCTCTCAGTCCTCAAATGACTTAGTATGAACGCAACTCCCTCGACACTTTAAGTCTTTCGTTTTAGCCCAGGCTTACCTAGCCTGTCTCTTCAGAATCAGCTTCATCCAGAGAAGCCATTTACTTGGGAAGTGCGACAGCCCGACCCACCGCGGAAATACCAGTTCTTCCCCAAGGAGAGGAGGTTGCCGGTCCTTAACAGCAGGACTAAAGGCGTGGACGTCGAGAAGGGTATTTCTACACCTTCGCTGCTAACGAGTGATAAGATAGACAAGCTCGCGCTAGCTTCCAGTGGCCTGAAAAAGAGGCTCAAACAGTATAGTTTGGTCCTACAGCGCAAAATCAGTGTACCAGAGCTTGGGCCCATGACAGCAGTTCAAGAACTTGCCATTGATTCCCGTATGTGATCCAAGCCTAGCATTTGACTTGCTCTTGTGAACTGACTGAATACCAGCGGCTATTCCTGGACGCCCGCCGCCCTCACACGCGCGCTCCACTAGTGTCCCTAATAATTCGTTCGGAGAGTACCAGCTTACTGATACTTTCCTTTACATCTCCAGCGACGATAAAGGTTCCCAGTCTCAGTCCCTCGGCAAAGAGGCTCCTCAGGCATGCCCTCAAGGCATAGCCACCGTCTCGCCGCTTGACCCCCTGGCCAACCCCAAGTCTGATGTACCATTACCCTTACTCCAGCGCCTGCAATCCTTCAACTACTTCCCTACTAGGAATGAATCTCCTAGACATGGCCGCATCAATGGATCCCCTCAAAGCCGCACGGCCACCATACCCAAGTCTTCTATGCCCGATCTCACGACACCTAAGTCAGCATCAACCAATACCACGTCCTGCGGCACGCCGCCTACTCCTGTTTTAGCACCACTAATGGAGTCTAGTGCCGCAGCTCTTAACCTATGGGATGGAAGTTACACTCCTCCCACCATCACGACGGAAGTAGGTAATGCCTCCCGAGGCCACCGAAGGGGTGACTTGGAATCATCGGGGATTATGGGCAGAGGCCTACCGAGGGAGGGATCTGGCTTAGGCACCAACAACGATCCATTCATCCAGAGACCAGAGCCGAGGAGAGGCAAGAGCTTAGAGCAAAAGGCCTTTGAACCGTTGCCTATTGGTCTTAAGCAAGCCGATGCCTTTGAGAAACTCGAGCAGTCTGAACTTACTTTACTTCAAAAGAAAGCGTTCGACCAGGTAAGACGATTTGATATTCTTAAGTCAGCGGATGTCGAGACGCTTTCTAAGGTCAGTCATATAGTCAGTATTGCCAGCGGAACCCGACTAATAATTATACAGGAACTCCGTCACTTGGATGAGAGGACTGAATACTTGCGTCACACCTACAATGCTCTCCGCATAGGCCGCCGGAACCTTCACTCACGCATCTGTCAGTACCTGCGCTCTTCTAGTATCGCCAAGTTCAGCCATGAGTTGTTGCTGAAACAGGAGGAAGTACTTGCGAGTCTGGATGCCTCTATTGATGACTGGGTGATGAAGCTGGAACAGGCAGAGAACCGACGAACCCGCGTTCATCAGAAGCTTCTCGAGCATATTGCTGTAGCTGCGTGCCTACCTGTTGGCGGATTGACCACTACACCGGAGCCACAACAGACCAACACTCCTGCTTCTGGCACCGGTGACATATCGACTCCTTTGCGAAGCCCCTCCAAGGAAATATTCACATCCGCTCGTCCCTCGAGCACCTCGCCCTCGCCTCAACGCGCCGTAGCTCGGGTTCTCAACACCGTCGTGGAGCAGTCTATTATCGGAAAGGTAGCAACACGAGAACCTGAGCAGCATGTGACAAGGACTGCATCTCCGAATCGAGCTGATGTGGAGATCATCTGCATCTATGCTGGTGATGATTTGTATGTTTGACGAAAGGATATCCTGATGCCAAGGCCGTCTCTCCTCTAGCGTTACCACCAACAACCCAGAAAAATGAGCCGGTTGAGGGCGTCATCTCCCTTCTCGCAAATTTCGTCTAATATGGTCTGTAGAAACTGGGCAGCGCCCATCTTTGTCCTTAATCATATGCAATAGATGAGTTGGAAGTTATCGGGAGCGAAGTTGGTGCATGTGTTGCTACCCACTACAAGACGATGTATCCTGGATCAAGTCTTCTTTCCTCAACAACAGGCCCGTGCATCAGGCATTTTTATTTCGGCTCGATTGGTGGCGGGGCTAAGCAACTCAGTCTCTCGACGCCACATCGGAGGGCGAAAAGAACAAACCTCTGACTAGGTGGAATACTTTCTATTTAAGCAGGGCAATATATGATATCTCAGAACGGTATAAAGAAGAAGACCGAGAAGGAAATAGGCAGGAGTGGTAGTTAGCCTAGGGTAGACTAAGCAAGTAAATAAAATTATAAGAGGTGCGGTAAGCCTAAATATAATTCGCAGATATCTAAGAGGGAGTTATAATTTATATAAATAATCCTAAGTAGTATTTTAGAATTAGAGATATTATAGGTATATAATTAATATTGACTAAGATGGTGTGTTAGATACTCCGCCGTTTGTTTATCTCCTCAGTTGTCATCTCTTCAGTGCCTACAAGCCTCAATCTGTTGAACAGGTGTCTGCCACGTGCAAGCAGGGGTCATCTAAGATTGCGCACGTAAACCGTAAAGCCTCCAAGGGGCAGAATTTGAACACAACACAACATGAATACACGAATCTGCATTAATGGACCAAATACACGTAATGCCTGACAAGAATGTTCAATGAGATCTACTAGACATTGTCGTTAGATAAATGCGAAAAATCTCCACTCTTATCTTTACCCGTTGGCTCGAGCCAACGGGTATAGCTATATTTTTAGTTAGAAGAAAACACTAGGGCAAGGTAGCTTAGATAGTTAATACTAACCCTATCCTAACCCTAAGCGGGGTTTGCTTCTCGGCCACCCTATTCTCTTCTTACCCAGAGAATAACAAAGGGGCAAGCTTCTTATTAAAGGTGTCAAAGTTTTCACGAGCCCTAAAACGGTCCGGGCTGGGGCGAAGCATGGGGAAGACATGGAACCAGCTAAAGGTTGCCTACCTGCCTAAATTAGTACGGTGCATTCTCTTCACAACTAAGCCCTACTAGTGAAGACAGGGTTGAAGTTTACATGTGACCGATGTCATGAGAGAGCGACCAAACTAGCGAGGGTTAAGTACACAAGGATTTCCCATTTAGGAAATGCTCCCAGCCGGCATATTTCCAAACCATGACACGCTAGTGGCGATATTGTGATCGATGGTTTGGCAGCTATATACCTAGCGTGCAACGCTTGGCACGCCCCGCAGTTCTTATCGAGGCTCGCGCCTTGTTTCCCCTCTCCAGGGACGGATACCTGAGATGGCAACACATAGCAAAGCCCATACCGTGGAGGCTGAGAAGGGAGAGAATCGGCTTGGTTGCGAGTCGTAACGGGGGAGAAAGGGAAAAAAAAAAAAAAAAAGCAGCGGCGTGAAAAAATGACGAGCTGAAGGTAAGGATAACCTCAAATTGAGTGAGCTACGGTACCGTTATCACGATCTCACAAGCGGGAGCCGCTCCCGCTAACAACGGAAGCGTGGGCATGACGCCAGAGCAGACGCCATGCAATTATCACAACATGCGGCTTCTTGTTCGTTTGTGTACCAACATTGCCCCAATCTCCATAACAATCATTACAGCATCATCGTCATGAGCCCCGCGGGAGGGGGGTTTCAAGCATTTCAGCAAGCCACGGCGCGCAGATCATAGACTCTTGGGGGCACCGTCGTTTCTGCATTGCCCGGAAGCCAGGATCAGGATCGCTGATCGTCTGCCTTACCTTAGGGAGCTGCTAATCTGAGGAACACCCTCCAGGCTCTGGGCAATCTCCCGACGGCATGGTAAACTGTGGCAGCTGTCTCCAGCGAGTTCCACAAATAACTTCATCCCATCAATTATCGAAAGGCTCCGCGAAGTAACTTACCCCATGTTATAAAACTACATGCTGCAGGGTTTTTTCAGCAGCGATAGCGTGCCTATCAGTTATGATCTTATCGTTTGACGACGTGCAGGTCGAGCGAAAATCGGTGCTGAAAGAGGCATAACTAGCCTAATGGTGTGATTTTAATTGGATTAAATCCCTCTGGGAGTCACCGCGTCGGAGCCTTTCGACAATTGACGGGATAGTGGCATCTTTTCCTTGTTAGAGAGACCGTGCAGAGATATCACGCTCCTCGTGGACTCTCTTCTGTCCTTGCTCTTGCTCGCTTGGTTGTGTGTCTCGCAAGCCGAGGCTCAGTCTGGGGGCTTTGGCCGTGGGTCGAGTCCTCAAATCTTGAGGACCAACGCTCCTCAGACAGTGGCCTCTCCCGTCTTTCCCTAGTCCAAGTCAGTACTAGTCTCCCCGCTCTCAGCTCCCAGCTTCCTTATCCACTTTTCCACATCGGGAAGGCAGAGAAAGGAAAAGGCGTGAAAACACCCTCCGTCCAAAGTTACGAGTCCTGATCCCAGGTTCGCGGTCCACGTCACACAAGACTGCATGTTCCAAGCTTGTAGGGGATCTTCTTTCATCGCACATGTGCCTACCTTGTTGCCTTCTAGTCAATAGGAGGTCAAATTCCGCTTGGGAAGATGCACCAAATCCTAGCTCTCTGATCGGAGTTTTCCTAATGTCCCGACTGGAGGCACTCGACAGAGTTAGCGATATGACAAAGCATGTTAGCAGCTTGCCGACACGAGTCGAAGCATCCCATCCATTGTACGAATTCATGGCTTGGTTCAGCGCCCGCATCTTGATCCACCAAGCCTGCCCAGCCCCCTCTCCCCCAGTCGCCGTGCCTCCATTGGCTAAAGCCCCAGACCAAAAACACAGATCGCACATGCAATCAAATCCGACGAGCCCCCGATTGAGCGCCGAGTATCGCTAACATCCCCCTGTCCGCATCTGTTAGTGCTTACTGCCTGTCTCAAAACAAGCACAAGAGGCCATCTCGACTACGTTGGGGTAAACTTAGAGGCCCCGACTGCAACTGTCCAATGGACACATTCAGCTCAGGTCAGCTCGGACTCAGGGGAGTGTGGTGGGACCGATGAGGTAAACACCAACCAGGAGCAATGCGCGGCTGCCGATGGGCCCCGGTTTCTCGTAGAGCATGTCGGTATCAGTTAAGAACCTGCAGTGCCGTGCCAATTCCACTCACGTCAAGCAAAGATCCTCGCTTCACCCAGCACGGCGGTAGCAACTGACAGTTGCTCCTCCATGGGTTCCTTTGCCCACAATGACTGCTCAAAACTTGCTTCGCGAGTATCAGGGCCATATTGTGCCTCAGAGCTACAATGCCGGCTTCGTCGCCCTCAGCTTCGTTGTTAGCTTGGTTGGTGCTGGCTCGACGCTCGAACTCATCAACAGACGAACCGGCCTCCGGGGTCTGTACAACCAGTATGCTTCTCCCTCGGCCGTCTCAAACCTGACTCTTATTATTAGACTTGATTGTTGACTGAAACAGTTTACTACTCATGAGCTCCGCCGTTACGATGGGTGGAGTGTCCATCTGGTGCATGGTATGTACTTGCTCGCCTTACACTGGATTCCTTACATACACTTACCAGGTCCTTCAACATGCAGCACTTCGTCGGTAACCGAGCCATCGATCTCGCCAACGGAGAACCAGATATGCAGGTGGCATACTCGAGCGGATTCACTGCCGTATCCTTCTTTGTCCCCATCCTGGTGCTTCTAGCTGCCTTCGTCGCCGTCGGTACTAACAACTCCGTGTCCTGGTGGAGGCTGATCACTGGAGGAGTTCTCTGCGGCACTGCCGTCTGCGGAATGCATTATCTTGGTAATGCTTCCATTGATAACTATACATGCGTCTATCGACCAGCATACGTCGTCAGTTCCGCAATTATCGCCATTGTTGCCAGCAATGTGGCCCTCGCCATGTTCTTCGTCTTCAGAGCCATGTGGGCTAATTCATGGTGGAAGCGAGTCATTTCGGCCGCAGTGCTCGCCGGCGCTGTGTCTGGGATGCATTGGTGTGCTGCTGTAGGAACTCATTATCGACTTGTCAAGATCAAGCCAGAGGGCAATGAGCCGTCGAGAACTGCCACTGTAGTTGTGGTCATCTGCTTGGTGAGATCATGGACTCCTGTCAGCATGTATGCAAACCCCGCGCGTCGCTAACCTGCAACAGTCACTCAGTGCTTGTTTCATCATTGCCATCTCAGCCATCCTCAGAGCGAGAAACATGAGGCGATCTGCCCTCCGCGCCCAGCAGATCACTCTTGGAGCCGCCATCTTCGACAAGACAGGGAGGATCCTCGTTGACCCGGATGGATTCATTCCTAGCACAGTTGTGACTGACTCCTTCTTGGAAAAGGTGAGTGTCCACTACCTGAAGCTCCGATGACTGCAGACTGACCGAGGCAGAATACCAAGGAAGGTTTCAATATTGGCCACCCGCTTTTCCACTGGATGTTTCTAGCATCCAGGAACTGGGGCATGATCGCGAGTCTAGTCGGAGGCATGAGACAGCACGTATCGCAGCTGCCGCACTCACGTACGCATAAAGACGGACGGCGTGGCATTCAGCTCGTAACTGACCACGGCGAGATGATTGAAAGTTACGACATGATCTTCCGGGAACTCTTTTGTCTCGCTGCGGCGGCGCTTGCTGACCGGCTTAGAAATGACCTCACGTCAATTGGAGTGTTGTGGGACGAGATTTTGCCAACAGGTGCGAACCGCAGACGGCCGCGGGCTCAACAGCAAAAACCTGGCCGGGGGGGATTTGCCCCGGAGGCTATCGAGACCGGTGACGATAAACATGACAGCCTTAACATGGCGGAGAAGGGAATCAACATCCGACAGCAGGACTACGGGCGTGGATCGCTGATGTTCTTGATCAGCCG